TTGCTTCGCAATTTTCGGCGCGTAAACTTCGACCGTGTCGACCGAGGAGACACTGAAGGAAAAGCTAATGCTACTTGGTACTTCTTCCGCGACTTCGTAGCGGACAAAACGAATTTCGACATTACCGCGTAACAGTTTGCGGAAGCACGTACTTGCATAAAGTCGTTGTAACGCGGACGTAAATGCAATACGTGTTTCCGCGCCAAAATGCGCAAGGACTCGGAAACGTCCTGGCGACGGGCGATACGACGACGAGCGCCGAGACGAGCGACACCGACTTAAACGAATTTCGTCAACAAACTCCGCGACGATGTTGTCATTATCCCGGTGTAACTCATTTTATCAGGGAATATTCTCGCATCAGAGAGATTCAAACTCGACTTGACTCAGTTCAGATCGTTTTGTGACCGTTCATTTCGACCTACGAATAATAAGCAAAGGCTACATCCAGACTAAAAGTTGAATTAATACAATTAATCTGATCCAAACCTTGAATTGACAATAAAAATTGCAAATTGATAATTCGATCGACTGTAATTTCTTTTGAAACAATAAAAGAGTTTTTTTTCTGGCATAGAAAATATATGACAGAAGGTCAACTTTGATTGTTTTTTTAATGAAATCGTGCTGCTCGACATAGTATTGTGATTCAATTGTTAATTTAGGCAGGATATATAACATATTGTGTATGAAGGAAACACGTATTGCAGTATTCAAGTTCTTATAATGATTCCGAGATTTTTTCAAGATGATATTAATATCGATCCGGAACTTGAAAAAAAAAAATATACTAACTTTCGTACAGCAATTTCTGTTTCAAAATATCCAAACAATTAATATTAAATATTGCGTCAGAAGTATGTGAAGTGTTTTGAATTACTTTATTGAAAAAAAAGTATTTAAAAAAAATAAATTCTATTTCAAAATATCCAAACAATTAATATTAAATATTGCGTCAGAAGTGTGTGAAGTGTTTTGAATTACTTTATTGAAAAAAAAGTATTAAAAAAAATAAATTCTATTTCAAAATATCCAAACAATTAATATTAAACATTGCGTCAGAAGTGTGTCAAGTGTTTTGAATTATTTTATTGAAAAAAAAGTATTAAAAAAAATAAATTCTATTTCAAAATATCCAAACAATTAATATTAAACATTGCGTCAGAAGTGTGTGAAGTGTTTTGAATTATTTTATTGAAAAAAAATATTTAAAAAAAATAAATTCTATTATAGATCATAACATTGGACCATGACGTTCAAATTGGATAACAACGGTGTGGCTGTTTTCTTCACCACAAACATCCATTTTCAAACTGGAATATTATATATAACATATAGCCATACATAATATTTTTAAATTGGAACGTGTACATATAGGTAATAACACATACAATATATTCACTGCGTGAAAACTACGATTCATTATTTCCAGGGTTGGGAAAATTTGAAATAATTCGATATAAAATAGTAAACAAAATTGAAATATTTGCATAAGTAAATACTATTTACCACTTTCACTCGGATTCAAATATCGGAAATAGTGAATTGAAAATAAGACATGCAAATTTTGAAACTAAATATAATTCGCAACTGTCACTCGCTATCTTCTATTCTGTTAGGTTGATAAATGATGAATAGTCGACGAGTATAGCAACCAAGGTTGGTATGTGTGTTGTGTGAACGTTGTGTATTGGTAGTTAGGGAAAAAACAGAAGATGAACGAGATGAAGAAGAACGAGTATGGTGATGAAAATATAAACGAGATTCGTGTATACGTATATAGGAGATATAAACGAGACATATGTATACATATATACAAGATATAAACGAGATTCGTGTATATGTATATATATGTATATACTATTAGTTGCAATTATTCTATATTATTCTGTGAAATATTACCATTTGATGAAATATTATTTTCCTATATTTTAATGAAATACTTATCGCACAATACAATTTTCATACGTAACTACACACATGAGAAAATAACAATATTTACATTCTATTTACTATTTCTCCCCGGTCTTGATTTTTTTCCCCATTTTGTCATTTGTTGTCCAGTCTAATGGAAGACAAACTACATATTTGTCTGTCTAAACTGGGCTCAACGCGATGACCGTAGTTTCACTAATTGCAAATATTCGCTAATCACGAGACAAAAGCGTAAAAATCCGGAGGGCCGTTCTTGAAAATCTCGAAAAAAAACCGTGGAAAAACCAAATACGAAGGCATTATTCATGAATCTTGACGGCAACGACGCCGGGACGATGTTACCCGATAAAAATCTGCATTATTGCCGGAAGTGCTCGTTGGTGGTGCCGAGGGACGGAACAGTGAGTGTCGTGAACCGTGCTTAAGTACCCACTTTGCGTCGAACGACCGACAACCGATTTGCTTTACACGCGACCACCGGTTTATTGCTCGCGTTCTTTTCGTCCATCGAAGTTTATACGCAGAGTGACTCATAAATACGTGTCAATTATGAAACATAAGTTGAATTACGGATGATTAGAAAAGGTATTCGAAATGTTCCTCTTCTGTAGACACAATATTAACTCTTCACGTACTCATTATTGCTTTACAAACTATCTCAGAAGTTATTTCAACAATAATAAATTTTTATAATTACGCACAAATGAAATCGACACGTAGATATTTACTACCACTATTTACAAGCTACAAAAATTGTTATTACACCTGTTTAAAGCTACGAAAATTGTTATTACACCTGTCTAATTATTTAAATCTATGGAAATTACCAAAACGTTTAAATCGTCAACATTAAACATCGCCTTTTCCTCTCGAGTATTTCATACGTTTCAACATCCTGTGTTTATTACATCATAATTTATCACAATTATCGTTATATCACAAATTATCATATCATCATATTGGAGCTCTGGTCCGACACTTATTTCTCTTTCGCTCTCTACTTTTTACTACGTCGCATTTTTTTCTTTCTTTTTTTTTTTTTTTCTGCGTTTGCACAAGTCTGAAAATATTTTCAGACAAGGAAACGATCATTTCGATAGCTGAACGTTCAGTTTGCTTACCTAAGCTAACGTTGCGATCGCTCGCTCGTTCGCTTGCGTACGAGATATTTTACGATTTCGAAAAAAAAAAAAAAGAAAAAAAAAATAGAGGAGTAACTTATTTCACGCGCGATTTTTCGCCGTCGGTTTAACGCCAAAAGAGATTTAACGACTCGTACGTGCACGAGCAATTTCCAGCCGAACGTTAAAGTATATTTCACGTCGCGAAAAACATAACGTTGGTCCGCCACGGATATGGTAAGGACTCTGAATACGCGAAACCGATAAATTATTTCCACCAATTATTAACGTAACCGTCGATACTTTCCATTCGCGTAGTAATGGATCACGGAGTGAGTTTTCTCTTTTTTTTTTTATATATTTTTTTCCCCCCCGGGGAAATATCCATAACTCCGGACTCGCCATAATTCTTAATTCCGAAGGTGCTCGAGGCTTGCCCCGGCGGTCTCGATAAAAGGTTTTTAAACGAAACGTCGATACGTTTCGTTTCACGGACGAAAAGAGAAAAAGAAACGCGAAGAAGAAGCTAACCAAGAATTAATTACGAGTTCTCTCGCATAAAAGTGTGACTGCTAAAACTTACTTTCGCGCTGGTCGTTTCGGTCCTCGTTCGACCAACTTCGAATTGTTTCTTTTCCCAACTCTTTCCAACTGTGCCCTCGCACATCTGCGTCGTCTGTAATCGTCTTAGGCATACAAATTAATTCATGGCCCTCGACAATTAATTAATTAATTGCAAGTTTACTTCGAGTTCGAATCTTCTTTGTGCTAGTGTTTCAAATAAACAAGTACGAAATAAAATAAATGCTGTTTATCTTTTCGTTACCACAGCAGTCGCTTGATATTGGTTACTGGTAAGAATATTTATCTGCAATTTATTATGTACCATTGGGCTGCGATATATAAAAATATTTGATTTTTAATGGTAACATTGAACTAAACGGACATTACTACTTTTAAATATTAAATTTTATTAAATGAAATAAGTGCTACTAAAATCTATGAAGTTTTCCAAATTAATTTTATTAGGTTGTGTAATAAATTCGTTTGCACCATTGTTTATTGATTCGTTTCGTAAATGAATTAAGTAACTTTGAAACTCGTTTTTTTTTATCAAAAAAATTGCATGTCGCAATTATATAATATGTGTGTTTCTCTGAATTATATAATTATATAATTATTATCTGTAAAGAACATCTTTCTTGCATTGAAACGATTAACACTCCACTGTTAACGTTAAAATAAAATACACTAAATATTTCAATAAACTGAAATCGTTCATCAATCATAACTTCAATATTTTCTCTAATAATAAAATGATTCTTTTACTGTTTTAAATATCGTATATCATATTTTCAATTTCACATTATACTTGGAATATTTATAACATTCGCTTCCTTTCAATTATAAACAATTATCTATACTACATGTTGCTTCACTCAATATAAATAGATCATATTTTCTATAATACAAATATAGATAGATTGTTTCTATGATACATACCTTTTAATATCCTTCAAAACATGGCGCAAATTTATTACACAACCCAACATAATTATTCATTATCCAATTACAAGTTTCTTAGCAAATTAAAATTAATTGATTGAATAATTTGTGTACGTATGATTCTAACTCCATGAGAATGCTGTATTAAACAGTCAATGGCAGTTCTATGTAACAGTAATGACAAATTGTTTTAACATTTAAGATCATTCCTCCTAACATTTTCATTACTTTGTCCAACTCCATTAAATAAAATAAATGCGATGGACATTATTTCCGGCTGAAATGTACAATGTTCGAGCAGTTGCGAATAAAAGACAAGTTTGTAGAGGGGGGAGGCCATGAATTGATCACGGAGTTTCTGGTCACGTGGCAATTCTTCATACGAAACTCGAACGCGCAGCGAGAAAAATTTCAACGCATTGTCACTGTATGTTACAGTACCGATGGAGTCGATACAGGGAGTGGCAGGGCAGAGAGCAACTTTACCCTGTAATATACAACCCCGTGAACCGAACGACGCCGTCTCCATGGTGCTCTGGTTCAAAGAGGACAGCGGCGAGCCTCTCTACAGGTAAGCCATCATTGTTATTTACGAGAGATGATATCGTTCGACTCTCCGAGCCCCTCTATTCACGATATTTCCATCGATACGATCGTTATTATCCCTCACCTACGCAATGTGCCGAGAGTATGACACCAGAATATCCGACGACTCTGTTCTCCAAAAATTTATACCAAGGTCAGGATCTTTAGTACTTTGAATTTTAGTACATCAGCTTACCACCGCTAATAATATTGATTATTTTATAAAATAAGACTGATCAGTAATAATTTAATAAGCTAACGGTTTTTACCCGTTCTTACTTTCTAAGGGAGTAGTGAAAAAGAGAACACGAGGCCTTAGAAACAAAAACATTGAAATAATTATACCAGGAAAAATTCTTTTTTAACAAATGCGTTTCGTTGTTTCATCTGCGACTGCGTCATACAATTTATGCTAATCGATCACACAAAATAAATTTGGGAAAACATATTGAATTTTTTGGATAATATACGTAATCAATTTTTCAGATGGCTGCTAGAAATATTAATACGACATTCTAAAAAAAAAAAAAAGAAAGAAGAAGTGATAAAGGATTAACATATATGTATTTTAAAATTTAATTAATTCAATAATCTCTTCACTTTATAGAAGCTGTGAAAAATTGATGACTATTACTAACAGATTGATTACGAACAGATCTAAATGACGATCACTATGAAATAAGATACGTGCTAATCAAACTTCATATTATAGTATATTATATTATTTTATAATATTAAACTGGTATAAATTATTGCTCTAAATTTCTAATTAAGAGAAATTGAATTAATTTTGAAATAATTGATTGGCGCAACATCATTAGTCTCGTTTCTGTGCCAAAAATTTAATAAATGGAAAATTTCGTTTCAGCAAATATTACTTCATAATTAATAATTCCTCTCGATCGGTATAATTATTTCAAACAATGCAGCCGATATCGCGCAAAATTCAATCAAAATATAATTAACCCATCAATCAAACTATCAATTCTCCAAAAAAAATCTAACCAATCCTAATTATAATATATGTATAACCCCGACCATAGTTATTTATACTCGGAACACTATGCACGGTAAAAAAAATATTATTTCTCACAGAATTCACCCAGAAATTCGCTATGGATATTCTTCCGATGGACAACGTGTTTCTCTCATCTTCTAAAATATCGCCTTTCTCTCTCTCTCTCTCTTTCTCTCTCTCTCTCTCCCGCGCGCGATTTAAAGTTTAAAGAGAAACGTCGCCGATTACACGAGGTAACCCTGGTGCTCTGATTCGCTGCAATTTCCATGACCGCGAGGACCGTCCATCCGCGGATTTCCCAGCGAACCGGGCAAACGCAAGACCAAAACGAAATTGGGATTTCGTTAAGCCGCGAATCGCCTTTGTCTTCTATTCTTTATACGCCCCGGTTCTGTCGTCGGCCGATTTTCCATCCCCGTAAATATCGCCTTTATGGAGAGTCCCATAAAACGAGGATAACAGGCGTGCCCCTCCCCCTCCCCCTATTTGGTAACGCGCGCCGAGGCAAACGATGCACCATCTTCCTTCTTTTTTCGCACACATTCCCACTCTTCGTATAACGTGTGATTTTATTTTTCACGGGGCTCTCTTACCCTGCTGAAAATACGTTTCGACGATCTCTTTCTGCGAGCAGAAGGGAGCCAGGGGGTTCCGATAAAAACCCGGAGGAAAAATGCTTTCTTTGTTTGTCCCGGAGTGATTACGAAACTCTAGGCGGGATTGCGGTCGCGGCGATTGGCAAAACGGTAATTTCCAGTTGAAAACGAACCGCGGCCGAACACTAAACAATCCTAACCGACGGAGGAGCGCGCGAACGACGTTCGCTGCTACGTAATACGTGGTAGTACCAGGTTTCCGGTCTGGGCATTATCGCGTCTCATAAAAAGTCTTATTTCACAGCGAAAAGAATACGTAAAACCTGCTACGCAGGCAGAAAGTACTTTTTATTCTCGCGGCGTTGAACCGTTGAACCGTTTCTGTTCTGCAACACGCTACAGAATAAAAACTTTCGGTACGTCTTTTTCCTTTCGGAGCGATGATATTCGATGGGCAGGGGACCACGGAGGATTCAATATTAATATTTAATATCCGTTGTGGGTGGCAACGATAAACGAGAAATTTAAAAAAATATATATATATATACACGAGCAGAATAAATTTGGCGCAGTGAGTGTTGCGCGTGATGGAAATCGAAACGAAATTTGTTGAAACTGGCGTTTGATTTACGATGTTGGTGCGAGTAAGTACGTGGAAAAATATTGCAAGAAGTATACTTGAAATCGTAATCGTAAGAGAAGTTTTCTTGCTAATCAACCAATATGCACCTACTTTATTCATTTCGATAGTGAGATATAATTTCAAATATATTTCTGACTTTTGACCCTGCAAATTCTTTTATATAATAACAGTGACCAGGTACGTAAGAAGACTCGATTAAACTAACATGATTTCATTCAACTTTTATTTACCCTTAACTTTTATTATATAGCACGAAGTGTAGAAAGAATTGCGCAAAATGCGTTGCATAATTGTTGTTACAGATGAACAACGATCGAATAATAAATCACGTTGATTTATGCGTACCAAACTCGAATATTCATAAAATTATACTTTACTGCTGAAACATATCGAACAGAAAAAAGAAGAGATCGAAAAAATGACACAAAAAATAACTCTGACAATGAGCAATCATAAGAATCGTTACCCTATAAAATATTTTCATTATTTTGTAAAAGGTTAATTATAACTTTTAAATATTTTATTGCAATACTTTTCTAACTTTATTTTACATATATGACACATGAAATCACTTACACTTTCACATATGTAAATATATAAAATTTATAATAAAATTTATCATTCTAAAACTCGTAACAAAGTTATACCTCATATATATATATATATATATAACAGTTTCAGCAGTATATTCAGTAACAAACGCAGTAGTTAGGAGTGCTGAAAGAAAAACCTAACATAGTAACCAGAAGGGCTACTGACAAAGAAAATCTAAAACAACAGCCAGAAGGGCCATTGAAAAAAAATCGCGATACAGTAACCAGAAGGATTACCAAAAGAACTTATTCCTATTCAATACAATAACCAGAAGGGCTATTATCAAATCTACATTCATGAATTCGAGCAATAAACCGTATCTTGTTTCGCAACACTAATTCACTAGAACTACTAATTATAAAATAGGAAATTTTCAAAATCAAGCGCGGGGAGTGCTTCGTTCTATTTAAAAACTCCCGAAAATAAGTACGCAACGCTATTAATCTATGCACTCTTCAAAAAAACGCAACACTAATTGCAACGCGTCCATTGCAACCATGCTGGAGGTTGCTGATGAATGACCACTTCTGTACAGCTCTTGTAGCTGCATCAGGTGATCCAGGAACAACCTACCACCAAACCAGTGGAAGAATTTAGGCATTTTGTAAACGCAAAGCTATTTCAAGAAACGCGATCATTCATTGTCGCAACACTAAGAGGAAAATTAATTGGAGCACTATTGCAACACTAAGAGTAAAAATAATTACGAACAACACAAAACTGTATGAACAAAAAGTATTTCAAATACTGCAACAATCTAAAATTAATTAAAAGCGATGACTCTAATTTGATTTAAAACAATAGAAAGCAAGATAAATTTTACTACGTTATAACACTAAGATAACTATAAAAATCAAATCAAAATTGCAAAAGACAATCGCGGTATTATGATTCGCAAATCTAAAGCAAACACGATAATTACTTTTTCGCATTTCTAATTTAAACCGTAATCAATTTCTCGCAACACTAACAAGAAAAACCGCGATTTGCCCAAAACGATGATGAATGATGATGAAGAACAATAAAAAAAATACAACTACAAATACTAAAAGAGCATAGTGACAAAGTAGTAACGAGAATGACTTCCCATGCTCTGGAATCATTTAAATGATCCAGAGGATGAGACGCCATTTGTTGTGACCCTCTTCGTGGCAGTTTGCCGGGCCTCTTCGGCTTCTAGCCTCTTCTTTCTTCGAGCGCAATGCCCGCTGAAACTTACATTTAGCTCGAGTCTTTCTAATCGCAAAACCAAAAAATAATTTATACAGGTGAAATAAAAAGATAATCACGGAAGCTGACCTCAATGCACATGGGCGACCATCGATCATAATGATCGTTGTCCGTTCGCACGTGCGTGCTCGAGCAATGCCTACATAAACGTTCGTTTCGGGACCTACTCGCGACCTATCCGCGACCGCGACCGCGATACTAAATTCGAAAAATCGAAGANAGACCTAAACTAGAGAGGACGTCCCGGGACGCCTCCGACACCCGAGCTTAACGCACAACTTTCACACTCTAATTTACGTACCATTTTCCTGAAATCGACTGACAATAGCTAGTGACCATTGCGTAAAACGTGACTAAAACACGTTTACAGCTATGTGAGATTAATAATTGAGAAAGTATACATATAATTTTCATAGAAATTACACGTGCAAATTGGCATGGAATTATTATTCCAATTGATTGTAGAATTATCAATATAATTATAATATATTTAATAGGTTATTATAATAAATTCATACTTCAAATTAGTGCGTAAATATTTTAAATATTTGTAATAAATGGAACAATAGAAACGACGCAATTCCACATCCTAACCACACACACACACACATGTGGAAAATACGTCGTGCACGATACGCTAACACATTGTCAGTCGCTGAGAAATTTTTTATAAAATTACAAACTATGGTCATCGTGCCCAATGTCTTTCACCCACCCAAGTAGCACCTGGGCACGTGAGTGAGATCCTGACAATGAACACGGAAGGGGTTAAATCTGAAAATCCTGAACTAAAAAAATGATCAGTTTATATAATTTGTATCTAAACGGGCTATTGCATTATTTTATTTCAAGCTGCAATGACTCTACTCTTTCAAAAATTATTGAAATTGCAAGAGAATAAAAAC